AATTGGGATGATAGAGACGTGGGTGGTGGGAAATGACGGGGTCGAGGTGGGAAAGGAAGACGGGACCTGCTGGAGAGTCCTGCTAGCAAAAAGAATTGGATTGAGTGCCTGAATCTGGATGTGTTTTATGCAGAGATGCAGAAAAGCAGATCAGTCTCGATTTCTGCACATTCCAACAAACACGTCCAGATTCAGGCTCTAAATCCAATCCCCTTCGCTGGTGGGACCTCACCCCTGGTTACCACTGTCGGAGAACGACTGCCAATGACGGGAGTGTCAGAATCTTTCTTGGCCTCTGCACATCTGAGTGCAGACTGTGCAGTGTGCACTTTGGCCTCTGCACACCCAGGTGCACTCTTTTTTTTCTTCGTCTTTCCTGTGTTTTTTTCCTTAATGCGCAGGGGCCATAAAAAAAAAGAACAAAAAAAACAAAAAAATAAAAAAAAAACAAAAACAAAAAAAAAAGTGCAGGGGCCATGCTAAGCTTCTCTGCATCGTTCCAATTTTATGGATGGCCTTGTGCCGGAATTCCCTTCCGTATTTGCAGACATCTTGTCGCACCAAACTCATCCGCAAGAAACGCTTGTACTATGCAGCAGCAGCAGGGACCGATGGGCCGGCATTAAGAAACCCCCCCTCCCCTCCCCCCCCGCCCCCGCCCCAATGGCCTGGCCCACCTTGCACTTTTCGTCCTTTCCTTCTGCAAGCAGTCCTCTCGTTCTCATTTTACTAGAGGACATTAGCAATGTGGATGTCATCTCCTCTAGCTTGAGAAACATAGCGCAGAAAAAAAGTTAAAGGTGTCTACTTGGTGATTGGAAGCTTATATAGCCTTTCTGAGGGTGTGTACTCGTGATAATATGTTTTTGACTGAACTCTGGATGTGATAGCGGTCAGATACGTCAAGGTCCGTCTGCAATTCCAGTTATAGGTGCATGCATGAAATTCCTAGTGGGAGTATGCCCTCATGCTCTTACTTTACTTTCAGATCATGGCTTAGTTGTGGTCTTATGCCTAGTAGTACTTGAACACAGGTTGAAATCCAGCAGGTCCTCC